GGTTATTGATATTTCTCCCGGCAATCTTGATTCCAGCTTGTGCTTCCTGCAGCCCAGTGTTTCATATGATGTACTCTGTAGGTACTTGAGTAAAAATACTTAAAAGGAAATCAACACTGAATATTCACTGGAAGGACTGATGCTGAAACTGAAGCTCCAATACTTTGGCTGCCTGATGGGAGGAGCTGACTCATTGGAGAAGACCCTGATGCTGAGAAAGATTGAGGGCAGGAGGAGAAGGGGTCAATAGAGGAGGAGATGGTTGGATGGCATCAACTCAAAGGACATGAGTTTGAGCAAACTCTGGGAGATGGTGAAGGACAGGGAAGCCCAGCGTGCTGCAGACCATGGGGTCATAGAGTCAGACGTAACTGAGCTACTGAACAACAAGATTTTTAGGCTCAACCTGACTGAAGTGGGGCACCAAGTCAAACCAGCATGTCACTAATCAGTCACTATGTTCCTCTTTAAAAACTGATGGGCCTCCAACTACAAGTTTCTGTCTGTCATTCAGTCAGAAGTGTGTGATTGTAGTGCTCTGCCAGTTACTTCTTTCGCATATAACATATGCAGCCTTCTCTAAGAAGTTTATTGCTCTTTGATCCTTAGAATTATTTGATGGTGCTAATTTGGCTACTTTAGATTTTAGTCAGTTTTGGATGACTGATGTGTCACGCCTTCTGGCTTGTTTTTATGGCTGGTTTGTTTGGAAATCCTGGGTGTGTTTGTTCTTTGTTGCTTCCAGGTTACAGGTTACCATGTCTTTTACAATGAAGAATAAGGCAGTTCAGTTGCATCACCTTGACTCCTGGTGAGTCAGCCCTGGACGGCAGACTGTCTGGAGAGCCTGTGCAGCCCTCTGGTGCAGGCCTGCTGCTTCAGGCGCAGAGAGGGCCTTTTCACTGGAGAAGAGTTACTTTCGTGGCATGCAGGTTTACTCATCCTTTATCTTAGCCTTTCTTTCAGCCCTTTCGCTCTCAACGGAGGATGTGTCTCAGTTTCTTGAGACTTCGGAGACAAGGGAATTTGCGACCTATCTTCCGCTTGGCTTCATGGGAGAAAACAGTTTGCCTACCTTTTTTGTCATTGGAAGAAAATGGCTCCCAGTATTGCAGCACTTTGGGAAACTACATTTCCTTTTAATACTGAAGTGCCAGAAGAGTAAGATCATGGCATCCAGTCCTATCTCTTCATGGCAAATAGATGGGGAAACAATGACAGACTTTATTTTCTGGGGCTCCAAAATCTCTGTGGATGGTGACTGCAGCCATGAAATTAAAAGACACTCGCTCCTTGGAAGCAAAGCTGTGATAAACCTGGACAGTATATTAAAAAGCAGAGACATCACTTTGCTAACAAAGGTCTATATAGTCAAAGCTACGGTTTTTCCAGTTATCATGTATGGATGTGAGAATTGGACCATAAAGAATGCTGAGCACTGGAGAACTGATGCTTTTGAACTGTGGTGTTGGAAAAGACTCTTGAGAGTCCCTTGGACTGCAAGGAGATCAAACTGGTCAATCCTAAAGGAAATCAACCCTGAATATTCACTGGAAGGACTGAAACTGAAGCTCCAATACTTGGACCACCTGATATGAAGAGCTGACTCATTGGAAAAGACCCTGATGCTTGGAAAGATTGAGAGCAGGAGGAGAAGGGGGTGACAGGACGAGATGGTTAGATGGTATCATCGACTCAGTGGACATTAGTTTGAGCAAATTCCAGGAGATAGTGAAGGACAGGGAGGCCGAGTGTCCATGGGGTCGCAAAGAGTCAGACACGACTGAGTGACTAAACAACAACAACCAGAGGAGTGAATTGAACGGGAAGTCTCTTTTGACCTGATGGTTAGAAATTTGATACATTATTTACAGTACTTTTGGTTGGAGTAGAAACATTGGAACAGAAAGCTTTTACATGAGAACCAGTGAGTGGTTCAGGGTTTGTTGTTTACTAAGTAAGTGGTGCTGTGACCTGGGAGCGGTCTCTGGTCCTCAGTGAGGTGGCCTGACAGTAGCAGGAGGTCAGGTGGTGCTGTGGCGGTTACGTTTGCTCCATTCTAGCTTTTTTGGGATGGAGCTGATGATGACCAAGTGTGAAATTTTAGAGATAGTTATCAGTTTGTGTTTTTGTCACTTTAAAGTTAAACGCAGTCAGTGGAAGAATTTCAACTAGACATATTATCTGGGGTTTGCCCCACACGTCAGTCACCACCCAGATATTAACTTAGCCTCTTAAAATCTAGAGAAGAAAGACTGGCTTGTTTTCTTTTTAGGCTCTAAAGTAGGACTTGGCAAGCTTTCCCCAAAGGGCCAGATAGAAAAGTTTTAGGCCCTGTTGGCCATGGGGTCTCCATTGCAGTGACTCAGCCTGCTGCTGTAATCGGAAAGCAATGTAGGAAACACACTGGAGTCTAAGGAGTTCCAGCCGTCTGTGCTGGTGACCTGAACATTTCTCTTCTTGAGATTCTGGATTAGAGAGCTCAGAAAATTCTAAATACTGTGTTGAATCAATCTTCCTCATGAATACATTATTTGAACATACCTTAATAACGCATTAGATGAGTTACCAGTGTATAGATTTTGCATATGTGTAAAAGTTGTCAGGAAAACTTGCAAAGATTTGTAATTTTGGCTCAGTGTGTGGCCTGCGAGGTGGCAGAAGATGGTAATTTGAGAACTGGGCGTTGCTACTCTGAAGGAGGAGAGGACAGACTGTCTTGCATGCTGCCCTGCTGAGCCTCTCGAGCGCGCGGAGCTTGTTCAGTTTCCATATGGAACTTTCTGAGTGCTTGTCATGTCCCAGGAACCGTACCAGCCTGTGTATCTATAAGAACCCATCAGCCATGAAGCTTGCTTTCGACAAGCCAAGTTGAGTGGGGAAGCCAGCTATTTTAGCAGGAAACTGTGATACACATTTCCATGGCATGCATGTATGCATATGCCATAATTTATGTAATTAATCCCTTCTTAATGGGCTGATCGCAATCCCTGATTCTCCTTTTGCCTCAGGCTCCATTAGGTCTTGGCACAGTACTGTCACTGATCTCATCTTGATTTTAAATTTTGATACATTGCTTATTATGGAATTTTTGCAATAGTTCTGACTTTAAAAAGTTGCATTATAATATATTTTAAAAACTTTGATTAGTAAGCTTTTTTGGCACCCCATAAATTTGCATCCAAAACACTCGCTCTCTTCGCCCGCTGGTCTGTGGGTTAAATGTTCAGTTGTACACACTCCAGACACTTTGGGAGGCAGGCTGTGGGCTCTGATGCCTTTTTCTGAAGAGAACTGATGATTGTCCTAACTACCTAGTTAACTCCACCTGACTTCTCAACTCTGGCTCCCCATAGGCAGTCAGCAGCCAGATCTGTGCCTCCAACTGTGGTTTTCTTCTTATTCTCCACCGGGCTCCTTACTGTCTGCCTTGTGCAGTGGGCGGTTCAGAGCTGGCTGCAGCCTGGGCAGAATCTGCACTTGAGCCTTAGTGCTCCCCTTGTCCAGGAACCTGCCTTTCTGGGCTTCCTCCTTCCCAGCTTCGTTCTGTTTGTTGTCATTTCTTTATTTCTTTTCTGTTTAGTATTTTTCCTTTCCCAGGTGTCAGTTACCCTTGAGTTTTACAGTTTGATTATTAAAGTTTTCTTTCTTCTACGTTCTGCTTGGTCCTCTTTTGAGCTGCCTTTGTTTATAATACCCAGTAATTCCTTGATCTTGTTTTAAATTTCTTTTTGAATTATTTAAACCTGTTAAACACAGCTATTTTCTATTTGGCAATTGATACTTGTAGTATCTGAGAATTTTTTTTAAATTCTGGCTGTCATTGGTTCTTTGTGCTGTTATTTTAAGGACTTTGTTCACGTGTTTTGTGACTTTTATTAGGAACTTACAGTTGTTAGCACTGTGTTTGGGAACTTACAGTTGTTAGCACTGTGTGTTGGGAATTATTTGGCGACCCAGTCGAAGGCCGTTTGCTTTAAGAGGCTGGAACAGCTCCTGTCCCAGGTCTACTTTCTTATCAACTTGTGGATTTTCAGGCCATACAGAAAGTATGCATTCATGCCAGACTTGGCAGTTCACATTCTTCTGGCTTCATGAAGGGGCTTATGCTCTGAAGCCCTATCTCGTGTTGGTCAGAGGCTCTTCTTTCTGTCCCTCTGCACAAAGGCACTGACACTGATGCTCCATGTCTCTGGGATCAGCCATCTTTAGGCCTTACCTTCCTGAATTTGAGCTCTCCCTCAGTTCCTGGCAAGACATGGTTTCCTGTCACTTCTTGCAAGCCCATTCATTTTCAAGAGTTTGCAAAATATTTGTATAGCCTTTTCTGTTACTTTGCAATATGAAGTTTTGGGGCTCTCTCTGTTCTGCAATATTGTCAGAAGTCAATCCTATAGCTTTCCAGTTTTCATTTGCCTCTGAATCACTAGTTGTGGTCAGTTCCCAAGATCACTTGTTTAACTCCAGGTCAGTAGGATTGTCAGTTGTTAGCGATGGTTGGATTGTGGCTTTCTTCATCCCTATATGGTAGATTAAACAGGGTTGAATGGCCTGACCCGGCCACCCAGACTTAATGGGCAACATTTATTGAATGAAAGGTAGGATTAAATTTTAAACAGTGAATTGAACCTTTAGAGTACAGTATACTTATGAATTGAGGGTTGCCTGCATGTAAATGCAGGACTGGTAATGAAAGGTTACTCAGTAAATACGGCTTGGAGGCTTCCTGTGCCCTCCTTTGTGTCTCTGGATTATGTAAGTTCATAAAAGGTGGGACTACGTGGCACTATTGTTTCCCACTTTCATGAAGCCTCACAGAGACAAGTATTATTTAGCATACCTTCTACTTACTATACCTGTCTTCCAGATTGTAGAATTGGATATCGCAAGTGTGAGGGCTCCCCTAAATGTGTTAGGGTCCTGTGAACCAGCAGATACATTTAGGGTGAAACTGTGCGGGGGAGGCCAGCATTTCAACACCATTCTCTTTTACATTTCAGGTTAATGCTGATGTCCCTGTACAACGTGAGCATCAATCTGAAAGGCTTGAAGTACATTAGTGAGAGCCCAGGATTCATCCCTTTGCTGTGGTGGCTTCTGAGTGGTAAGGAGGGGGTCTGCCAGGAGGTTCCTCGTGCAGCTGGTGTTCCTGTTCCTCTGTGGCTGGAGGGAGTGGTAAAGTATTAGACGTGAGAGTGGGTTATCCCCAGATGTTACCAGGGTTTTAAAAACAGACTTTAGATTACAGAAAACTCCCTGCTGTGCTCAGTTATTTCTACTTCTGTTTCTGAAGAATTGCTTTCAATTTAGTTGTGATTCTGTGACACAGAGAAAAATTACCTACTAAAGCAGCTAGTAAGTGGCAGTAACCTGTTCCTTTCTCTGTGAACGATACAGCACCATGTGTGTTGTCTGTGGCTCTGAACACCAGGTATAGAGAAGTCCCATCATTAAGCAACGGTGGGGGGAAAAGAAGTCTGAGAGACTGCAGCGCTGGAGTTCCATACACACACACACATCTATATATATGTGTATACATAATGTTTTTATTTTCTTTGGAATAAAAAGTTTCTTTACTCTTTCTCCTCTTCTCCCTTACCTCCAATTTAACCTAAAATTTTGCCCCCATCTGTTCATCATAATTTTTAATATGTTTTTAGTAGAAACGTACTTCATTCAAGTGTGCAAAATAGTTAACTTCCCTTTTTTTTTTTTTGTAATTCAGATCAGTCTCTATTTTGAGCTTCAGGTGGTAATAAGTGTTTATTTTTTGGTAACACTTTTTGAGGTATAATTGATATGCAATAAACTATACACGTTTAAGGCAAACAGTTGGTAAGTTTTGACATAAGCTACATATGGTGAAAGCATCATCACAATCAAGATAACGAGCATCTCTGTCACTCCTGAAAGGTACCCTTGCTCCTTGGACCTCTTTCCCACCCCTGTGTTCCTCTTTCTGGAAAATCACTCACCTTCTCTCTGTGTTACAGGTTAGTTTTAATTTCTCCAGGTTTATATAAATGGAACCATGCATTTTGCATTCTTTTTTGCCTCTTTTTCACTCAGCATAATTATTTTGAGAACTCCATCTATGTTTTGTGTATTAGTAGTTGATTCTTTGTTATTGCTAAATAGTCAGTATTCTGTTATGTGAATAAACTGCAGTTGCTTTATTTATTCAGCTGTGGGTTGTCTCCAGGTTGGGCTTATTTTAAGTGAAGCTGTTGTGAGCACTCTTGTATGTCTTTGCGTGGATATAGGCTTTCATTTCTCCCAGGTAAATTCCTAGGAGTACAGTGTCTAGCTTGTGTCGTAGGTGCACGCTCATTTTGATGAAATCACCAAGCTGTCACACACTGCACAGTGGTGGCGCTGTTCTGTGCCTGCTCCCCCTACCCCTCCCCTGCCCAGCAGAGGGTTAGCGCTTGCTGTGTGTCATTGTCAGTGCTCCATGTGCTCTTTCTGCTTAATTGCAGATATTCTGGAGGTGGGGGGGTGGTGGGTGACAGACCTCACTCAGTCTCAGTTCAGTCACTCAGTTGTGTCCGACTCTTTGTGACCCCATGGACTGCAGCACGCCCGGCTTCCCTGTCTATCACCACCTCCCAGAGCTTGCTCAGTTCATGTTCATTGAGTCGGTGATGCTATCTAACCATCTCATCCTCTGTTGTCCGCTTCTCCTCATGCCTTCAATCTTTCCCAGCATCAGGGTCTTTTCCAAGGAGTCAGTTCTTGGCATCCGGTGGCCAAAATATTGGAGTTTCAGCTTCAGCATCAGTCCTTCCAATGAATATTCAGGACTGATTTCCTCTATGATTGACTGGTTTGATCTTCTTGAAATCCAAGGGACTCTCAAGAGTCTGCTCCCAACACCACAGTTCAAAAGCATCAATTCTTCAGCACTCAGCCTTCTTTATGGTTCACCTCTCACATCCATACGTGACTACTGAAAAAAACCAAAGCTTTGACTATACTGACCTTTGTCGGCAAAGTAATGTCTCTGCTTTTTAATATGTGACTAGGTTGCTTATAGCTTTTCTTCCAAGGAGCAAGCGTCTTTTAATTTCATGACTAGATCACTACATTTATGTTGTTACTAATTTGCATTTAGTTGTTACTGATTCGCATTTATGTTATGACTAATGATATTGAGCATCTCTTCCTATGTTTATTTGTCCATCCTGATATCTTCTCTGATTTAAATGTCTGTTCACACTTTTTGCCCATTAGAAGAAAATCAGGTTGTTTCAATTAAACATTGAGATTCTTTGTGTATTCTGCGTACAAATCCTTTGTCAAATATCTAGTTTGCAAATAATTTCTCCCAGTCTGTTGCTTGCCTTTTCATTCTCTTAATAGCATCTTGAAAGAACAGAAGTTATTAATTTTGGTGATGTTTAATTTATTGTTCGTTTTCTTCTATGAATCATGCTCTTGATATAGAAATTTTTGCCTAACTGAAGGTCACATGGATTTTTAAAATGTGTTTTCTTCTATCTTACAATTTTGCATTTCTGCATTTCACATTTAGGTCTGTGATGAATTTGAGTTAATATTAATATGTGTTGAGAGCTACGACTCCCAAGTTGTGTGATGGCGTGTTCTGTCTTGCATGAAGCCACCACCTAGCTGATCCATCTCCACTTGTCTGGAAGATTTTCCTTTCTCAGCAGGGCTGTGTTTGGACCTTTGCTGACAATCTGATGACCTTCTATGAGAGGGTATAGTTTTGGGCTCTTGTTATTCTGTTTTGTGGACCCATTTTTGTATCATGATTCCAATACTATAGAAGAAAGGTAGTGTAAATCCTCCAACTTTCTTCTTATTTCTCAAAGTTGTCTTGACTGTTTCTAAAGTCCTTTGCATTTCCATACGAGTTTGAGGATCAGCTTGTCACTTTCTTAAAAAAAAAACAAACTCTTATTGGTGTTTTTGTTAGGATTGTGCTGAATCGACAGTTCACCTTGGGGAGGCTTGACATTTAGTGACACCGAGCCTTGCAATGAGTGAAACAGTGTATACACACCCACTATTTAGGTGTCACTGGGAGAGTGGAGGCTCTGACCTCCGCTCTTCCTGGCTGTGTGTGCAGTGAGCCCCATGAGGACAGAAGGAAGGGTGGGCTTGTTGACACTCATGTGGGACGGGTCATGCTTCCCTCTAGGGGAGAGCTCTGGCAGGGCTACTGCCCCTGTGAAGGATATGGCTTCCCTGAGCGCACAGCCCATGGTATGTGGCTGGCCCTGCAGAGCTGGGTCTCCCTGGACCGTGCCAACCCCCTGAATGTGGCTGTTGCTGTGGAGGAGCACTGTTCTTGGTCTTGGACACTGGTGTCTGTGTCTCCTCCCAGCGTCTGGTAGACGGCAGTGTGCTGGCTCGTGAACTTGCCGGTCAGGTGAAGCCCCACACCTTCCAGAGCTGGAAGGAGGCGGCCGGGGGAGGGGCTGAGTTTGTAGTGTGGAATGACTGCTGCCCACAAGGGCTGGAAACCTGACCAAACAGCTTTTTTTCTCTTGAGAATGTGAACCAAGGAACCCATAGACTCAGAGGTCGGCCTTGGACTTGGTGGGGAAGGGGTGTCACTATTGAGGCTGGTTGGTGTGGGCCACATGCAGGCAGAGGGTCCAAGCTGGAGGTGGGGTGGGAAAAGGGAGAGAATAATTAGATAAGTTCCTTGTACTCTTTGAGTGTCAGTCACTGCTTACGTGTATTCACAGATCTAGTTCTCTAAGTACTCTTACTAGGTAAATATGATCATTTATGTTTTATATATAGGGAAAGTGAAGCATGCAAGGGTGAAGTGACTTCTTCAGGGTCATACCTGGGTGGGAGTCTGGGCAGCTGAGCTCCAGGTCCCATCTCTCAGCCACTCTGCTGACCTCTGCCCTGCAGGAAGTGCCTCTAAGATGAACACTTAGTTCCGAGTGACCTGTCACCTTCCCTTGTCTCCAGATCTGGCATGGCTCGGCCTTAGAGATGATATCCCGAAACCACACACCCTCTCTGTTTAAGCTCACTTGCAGCCACTGATCTTCTAGCACCTTCTGCCAGTTGTTCTGTAAAAAGAAGGTCTTTTCTACCTGTGGTGCTCCAGAAATGTTCCAGGGCCAAGTGAAAGTTCTTCTGAGTTTTGTTTTCATTTAGACTGCTCTAGGTAGCCAACAACCCAACAGTGTCTGTCAGCTCCAGACACTTACCAGAGGTGGCATTCTTTGACCAGGGTGGTTTGTTCCTGCTTGAACTGCAGGTCCCATGCAGTGGGGAGTGGGGCGAAGACACCTTAATGCCTCTCTTGTCTCCACTAGCAGGCTTCCTTGTTCATGATGACAGTGATGGTTCTTTTGACACAGTGAGTACAGCCCAAGCCTAATCAGTCTCCTGAAAGGTCATCTTCTTGATGTCCTTAGAGTTATTTGTTACCACAGGCAGATTAAAAACAAGGTCTATCAAGCCCAGGATGTTTGTCCCCTGAATTATGTTTAAAATTGCCTTAACTTAAAAATTGAAATTCGTTACAGAATTTGGTGTGTATTTTAGGAAGATGAATAAATATTTTATTACAGAATGAGAAAACAGAAATATTCTCTGAGAAGCCGTATGTCCTTCTCAGTGTTGGTGGCTGTTTTCGTAACTCTAGACTGTCATAACTGCTCAGCACTAAGAATTTTAAAACTGTTTTTTTCTCCCCCTTTGCTTTTAGGTAGATCTGCTGTATGATATTGTACTAGAAAATAAGAATCTCTCCTAATTTGTAAAAGAAAAAGATTTAATTACTTCTTCCAGTAATTAGTTCCTACATTTATCAGTTTTCACGTTAGGAAATTTGATATGTTTTAAGGAACATGGATTTTGGGACTCCTTAAACCTGGAGAAATGCCAACTCTTCTATTTGGGAACTTACCTTTTAGGCTCTCCCTTTTCTGATCTGCAAAATGGGGATTTCTACCTCAAGAGTCTCAGTGTGTATTAAAACACAGTACTGCCCGGGCCAACACCTGATATGGTAGGTGTTAAATAGGTGTTTCCCTTTTTACTTATAATCTAACTCTTTTATGCCATGGTGAAAGCACACTTCCTTTCAGTTTGTTTGACCTAAAGGTA